AGAGAATAAGAGAAAGGGAGAGACGCATAAAGGAATGAGAAAATGAGAGAAATTCTGCAATTGGGTATTTTGTCACTTTCCTTGTTTAATATTTATTTTTAGTTATTACTATTTTTATATATTATTTCTATTTATTAGTTGAACTTTTGTCTAGAATATATTACAGGTTTTTTTAATCAGGGCCAAACATATTAACATTTTATACCTCCATATATATATTAGGCCCATTAATCATTGTAAATATGGTGTAAATAATATTGGTTTGTAGTTGATTCATTTCATTGCATTTTAAATTGGAACTTTAATTCGTGGATTCAATACATTTCATGTCGCTATGTCGCCAAAGTTCTATTTCGGTATATTAATGGAAAATTTTGCCTCGTTATGACCCAAACATATGACACTTCGGTTATATGGTCGATATGTACAAACCAGCTTTGGAGCACATTTCGATTAATTTGCTTCGATTATTTTTCATTTGATCTTGTTATTCCACTTTCATTTTTAATTAAATTTTGTTTAATTAGTTAATTTGGATTAATCAATTTTAATTAACTTGATTATTTGATTTAATCCGATGATTTTGATAACTAATCTTAATTAACCTAATTAATTGATTTAATCACACTTTAATCGATTAATTTTGTTAATTAAAACTTGATCACTTCATTTCAAACCATTTCTCAAAAAGAACTAATTCTCAATTCAATGTAGAGTCCACTTTAACACCCTTGTAAGTCGATCGCTTTTTAAGCATCACCGTCAACCTCATGCTCACACTTGCACACATTCATAGCTTACTCTTGACCTTTCTTACAATGAGACTTATTTGATTAATTAATTCTAATTAATTGTCTAAAAGACTAGCCCACTTTACTAGTACACTTGTAGTTTAAATTCGATTTGATTGTTTTATCGCTTTAATGCTATATTTGTTTGTGTATGTTTCTTGTTTGGGTCATGTGTTTACTGTTTACTCTTATCCCCATTCGAAAAGGTATACCCCTATCCCCATGAAGTGTAAAATAATTTTATCATTTTCCTTTATTTTGCTTATGTCTTGTTATTGCTTGATGAATAAAATCAAAATCCTAAAACATTCTTGATTCATATATCAAGCCCTACCCCATCTTGTAAGTCGATTGCTTCATGCATCGCCATCAATCTTAACCCAACACCAATTAGGTTCTACCTTCCGATCATTTCAATCCTTAATACACTTTGAACACAAATTCAAACCTCGATCAACATCAAATATATTCACAATTACCTAAACAAAAAAGAAGTAGTCTAGAGCCTTCTATTCTCTTCTCTAATCCTTGGATACAAGGAACCTTCCTTGGTCATTCAAGTATTCGTTGTTTGTCAAAACACTTAACTTATACTTAAACATTATTTCATTAAAGATGAAAAGGGAGATGGTCTGAAGCCTTTGATCCTCTCCTCGATTGTTTGGGTACGAGTTGTCTTTTTCACTAGTCAAACAATTGCCATCTATTAAAACTTCTAATCTGATTCATTTAAACATTTTCATAATAAATCAAATCAAACCTATTTCTCTTAAAAACTTAGATGAAAAAGAGAATGGTCTAGAGCCTTATATTCTCTCTTCCGAATACTTGGATACAAGGAGCCTTCCTTGGCCATTCAAGTAATTGTCATCCAAACAAAATATTCAATACATCAAACTCTCTTTTTTCGCTCCCGTGCAACTGAAACCTTCTCAAGAGACTAAGTCCTCACCCCCGTGCAATCCACAACTCAAATACTTTTTCTCAAAGAATATTGTTTAGTCCTTTCTAACGCGCATATAAACTAGTGCTTCAGCCTTCTCCGCGAGCAGACAAGCTAATGTTTAACAGTTAGAATGCGACCTAAACATTCGTTCATTAAAAGAAACAAACCAACAAACCTTAGTTCCATAAACTACGGATGCTCTGATTCTTCATTTTTATAAATGAAGATATGTAGGCAGAAGAGCCTCAATCCTTGACGAACACCCTAATGAAAAACCATCCACTTCCCCTTAGCAAATAAAACCCTTTTCTCTTACCTTTCACATTATTAGTTTAGAAGAAAATAAATAGCATAAGTCAACATTCAATCATAAATCAGACTAAGAGGTTCCTGTTGAGTACAATGGACGTGAGAGGTGCTAATACCTTTTCCTTGCGTAATCGACTCCCAAACCCGAATTTGATTGCGGTGACCATTTTCCTTTTTTAAAGGGTTTATCAATATTTTCCTATTCCTTCATTGGAATGAATAATGTTCGGTGGCGAATCTGTTCGAACAATTTTTTTCCACGTCTATCGCGAAGGATAGTATTTTTCGAGGTACGACACCAGCGTGCCTTTACCTTAAATTCCATAACTTGTTCTTGCCATAAAAATTTTCACTCGCTTATGATGAATGAACAACAATGTTGAAACCTTCTAAAATATATAAACTACATATTTTAGACACTTTAGCTATGATCACTTCACCACGTGAAATATTCAACATCTCATGTTCAACTCTAGTGCAATAGCCTAGGTCATCAAATATGCTTATGGATAACAAATTTTGCATGAGCTCTAGAACATATCTCACATTATAAAGAAGAAACCCATGATCATCAAACATTTAAAGTCTGAATGTACCAATACCATGAAGCTTGCAAGCCTTCTTATCACCATGGAGAACAAATCAACCTTGTTCTACCTTCAAAGTCTTAAAGTATTATTTTCTTCCACACATGTGATAAGAGAAACCTGAGTCCATGATCCAAACCTCTCTAGTCTCTAGATAAACCCGACTCCATGACCCAAACCTCTTCAGTCTCTATACTCGACACTAATACTACACCATTACTCTCACAACTATCATCATTTGAGGCAACTATAGTTTGAATAAAATTTTCATTGTTCCTTCTTTCGAGACAATCCCTATCGAAGTGAATGACTTTCTGACAAATAAAGCATTTAAACCTTGACATGCCAAACCTCTTAAATTTTGAAAATCTCTCTACACTCAATTCATTCTCTTGAGACAATGAAACATTCACCATTATCGTCAATCTTCGAAATTTTCACCTTTGAAAATTCTTTGGATATCATAGTCGTCTAGACTTCATCCAAAGTAATAATACATTCCCTACCATTGAAAAATTCATCCTTAAAGTGCTAAATGGATTTAGGTAATGAGCTCAACAAGAGTAGTGTTTTTTATTTATCAACAATCTTCACCTCAATATTCTCACGATCATCAATAATATTTTAAAATTTAGTAAATTGTTACACTATGAATTTGTTCTCTACCATTTTAAATGAGCAGAGCAGTTGTTTCAAACATAAATTGTGAGTCAAAGACTTGGTCATATACAATTATTCAAGTTTTTCCTACAATGAAGTTACAGTCTTCTCCATGGGGATTTCCCTCATAACTTTATCCTCAAAGCACAAGATAATGACACTTCTGATCATATATAACATATCAGTCTTCTCTACTTCTATTAGACTTGCAGGCATCAATGCCTCACCCTAAATGATTCAATACACTTCTCTTGGTTTAATATTTCTTACATATTCACTTTCCAAAACCCAAATTTTTTGTCTCCAAAAAACCTCTCGATCTTCCATTTAGAACATATGGTGCTCACTTGTAAACGAAATCCCTTTTTCCCACAGTAGGCGCCACTTATTGTAAAAAAAATCAATAGAATAATTTAAAGCCCTTGCAAAGAATTATTCAGAGTTAAAACACACAAAAAATTTTATTTGTGGGGACAAAGAACAATAACAATCAAAATAAACGACTTTCAACAAAAATAACTCTATGCAATAAGACACCAATTTAACTTGGAAGAATAAGATAAAGTAAAGAAAATAAATGCATTAACTTATTTAGCCAATTCAATCAAATGATATACTATGGGGAGAGAGTAGTTATGTGGTTCACTTAAGAGTTGTGACAAAATGTTATAAATGAATTATAAGAAAATAGTCATCCAACTCATTGCATCCATCACATGTGGCAAGCCACGAGTAAATGCCTCGTCCAAGAGAACGATGAAACAAAATATAATTGATTTCCACTAGTAATACTACAGGACGAATGAGTTTATTTAATTGTAAGATTAAATGTTGTTTTTTATTATTAATTTTTTTAATAATTTCCAAATTATGTATTTTATGGAAATAACATGTTTTGTTAAATTTTATAGTATTATCATGTGTTATGTCGTAGTGATGAATTTTATTAGAAATTATATGATGTGTTTTATTGAATTTGAGTGATAGAAATAAGTATAATTGTTTTGAGTCGTGTTACAAATTTTTTAAACAAAAAAAATATTAAAAGAATATTTTTTATTCAAAACACAACCCGCAAGTCAAACTTTGACAAATAAATTGTGAATTAGATGACAAATCTAACTTATTAAAATTTAAACGGATTGGATTGAATAATAGATTATGCAAAATTTGATCTAACCCAATTCGTGTATACTTCATGATGAAGTATTTTTTTATATTTTTAAATTGAAGTAAATAGTCCTATTTTAACTATAATACGTGTCAAAGTGTGAAAAAAAATGTTAAAGTAACTTTAATTTTCAATTTTTTGAAATCTTTTAATTATAATTACGTAAGTAATCTTTATGAGTGAGAATCATAATTGGATTAAATTATCCATGATGATAAGTGTAGTAATAAAAATAATATGATTATTATTCCACTAGCTTTATCCTCTTGTACTCTTTCTCTTTCTTTTTCACCTTTGCTTCTTCTCAACGTTCGGTAGCCTAAAAAGTTAAACCTAAAATTAAAAAACAAAAGAGAAAATTAGTGATAAGCGTGTAGTAATTGCCAGCGTACATCACACGAGAGGTTACTTAATTACTACACACACAGTAGTTAATACAGTAGTTAATTAGAGAGAGACTGTGTGAGAGTGGCATAACAACCAACAGCTAGAAAGAGAGAATAAGAGAGAGAAAGAAGATTCCAGATGCTTTGGCAATGGGGAAAATTGGAAATCAAGATGTGCAACAAGAAGAACAGAGGGAGAACAACGGTGATGGCTGTTCACGGTGTTCGGTGGTGCTGAGATTATTCAGTTTCAAGTGTTTGTTCATTCTGTTTTTCAGTTTAGCGGCTTTTGTTTCTGGAGTCTTCTGGATTCTTCCTAAACATAATTCAACCGAATTGAGCTTTGATGCTAAAGATGTAATTAAGCATAGTGGTAAACGATTCTCTCTCTTTCAATTTCGCGTAATCATTTTGTTTTTGATTTTCGTTATTTGATTTTCAATTTCTAATTATTTCAGTTATTGTTTGTTCGTGAAATTAATTTTGATTTGATTACCGGTTTTTGGTTATGATGCTCTTTGTCATGATTAGGTTTTGTTGTGTTTTGAGTGAATTACTCGTACTGTTAAATTAGGTCTGAATTGTGTTTATATAGATTCTGGTGTTTGTGAATTGTGATCATTTTTTTAGGTTTGTTTATGTTATACATAAACAAAAGTAGGGATTCTATTTTTCTTTTTGTTAAATTTTAGGCATAATATGTCAAGAGGATTAGCAAGAATATATGCAAAGCTGTGATTTATTTTCATTCTGAAGTATTGATTTTCGGAGGTGAAAGTAATATGATAGGGGCTGTCTTTTTGATTGGGTGTGTGATTGCTGACAATCATGGATTTGATTTACCTTTGGTGTTAATGTGATATGCGTACTTACCTACAAATTGAGGTGTGTTTGGAAATCATTTACGGTAGTGTTGTGTAAAACTGAAAAAAAAAACATTATAATGAAGATTTAAATCATCATTAAGCGGCTATTGACTTATTGTTGACTTGCACCTTATTGTTGTTGACCTCATCAGCAAGATCTAACTTTGGAAGAGGGTATTATGCTTCGTAAGAGGAATGCAGCAACACTTTTTTTTTTTTACAACTCTTGATGACACCCTTGATGTTTGATCTATTTTTAAAACAATTGATATAACTGTCTTATTGGTGCTCCTCTTTTAGGAAATAAACTAATCATAGTGTTTGAGTGTGTTGTTGGCGTTCCTTTTTTTGGTAATTGTTTGTAAGCAGTTTGTCATTCTTACTTTCAGGTAAATCATATAAGCAATTTGTGCTACATTTTCTAAATAAAAATCCTTTTATACCAGTTTTGTTTATAGTAGTACTTTTGGAAATAGAGTAGAAGTAATGCTCACTTTCGAAGTAGTACCAGATTATTAATTGTATAAAAGTTAAATAGATTCATTATATCTTACTTTTTAGGTAACTGAGTCAGTCTATTTGTTTATCTTATAAAATGTAAATTGCATTCAGAATTTATTATCATCTTTGTATCTTGATTTATATAAATATATAATTCCACCGAGTCTTTTATTCACTAATATGTCCCGAAATGGGAATCTGCACTGTGCCATTCATGTGATCTGTGCAACTATCACTCATAAGTTTGTTATGGTTTCTTTTTGTATTACTTCCCTGAGATCAGACTGTTGTGTCAAGATCTTATTTGAATTCTTAATGTTGGTGACATTACTGAATTTATTTATTGACGCCATTTTTTTTCCTTGAACAAATTTCAGCTACTGTTCAGGCATCCTTCAGGCTGGAAAAACCAGCTTCACAGCTTATTCCATATATTGAAAAATTGCAAGATGATATATTTGGTGAAGTAGCTCTGCCAAATACAAAGGTCTCAGCCAAGCTTCTACTATTAAATATTTTCATCATGACTCTATTTATACCTAAAAAGTGGCTCATAAACTATATACTTTTAACAGGTGGCTATTTTATCCATACACCAAAGTGTTGCACCTAGCTCGTCTGATGTGGTATTTGGTGTTCTCTCTGATCCAATGAACATTCCAATAAATCCAGTGTACTTGAGTGTGCTGAGATCATCACTAATTGAACTGTTTCTCCAGCAAACCAACCTGACTTTCACAACATCAGTATTTGGAAACGCGTCTTTGTTTGAGATCTTGAAGATTCCTGGTGGGTTAACTGTAAAACCAGTGCAGTCTGCTTCTATTTGGCAGATACCCGAGATTCTGTTTAATTTTACTCTTAATAATTCAATATCCGAAGTCCTGGATAAGTTTGATGACTTTGAGGAAGAATTGAAGCTTGGATTGCATCTGAGGTCTGATGAGGTGCAGTCTCATAACCTGTGTTGTTTATTATTTTGGGAATTGCAATTTTGGTTTTATAAGTTCCATTTCACTCAAAAATCAAAATCTTATTGCTGTCAAATACTTCCAACTTCTCTCAAGATCAGAAAGAATTTAATCAAAACAAAATTGAATTGCTAATTGTTTCGTTTGCCATTGCAGAATGTATATGTGCACATAACAAATGCACACGGCTCAACAGTAGCTCGTCCTGTAGTAGTGCAGGCATCTGTCATGCGAGGGTTTGAGAGCCTTTTGCCACAAAGATTGAAGCAAATAGCTCAAACAATAAGACGCTCTGCTAGAAAAAATCTTGGTCTTAATAACTTGGTTTTTGGCAGAGTCAAAGAAATCAGGTTGTCTTCTTTATTAAAGGATACACTGCATGCTCACCCACCGGCTCCTGCCCCATCCCCACAGTTAGTTGATCACTCTGAGCCATTAATTCCACCATACCATGCTCCTTCTCATTCTCCAATAACCCCAACAACTTCTGAGAAACCTCCTTGTTTTGACTGTGAAGTATTCTCACCTTCACCTTCCACTGTGACCGAGTATCCTGCAGATCCCTGTCCATACAATTGCTTCAAGCTCCTCCAAGATGAGGAGAAATCTAAAAAGTTGTCTCGCATACTTGCTCCGTCTTCTCAATGTAAGTTTATCTGGCATAATAAACCCTTCTTTCCTTCTTTTGCCTGGCTATAGTTGAATCTGACAATAAGTTTTAAGCATCCTTTGAAGTCTTCTTTCTATGTTTTAATTGCTGTTAGTGCTAATTCTTTTTGTAATGGGTAGATAGTTGGATACCCTGTTTTTAAAATAGCTCATGTATTTTTCCAAACAAAATCTGCACAGTGTTTAGTACCGGAACATTTCGATATATATCCGATCCGCTTACTACTAGTTTTTCTCCCTTCTGTGCAGCTTCAGCAGGCGGCGTTTTCCACACAGAAATCTTGCTAATGGGATTTTGTTTGCTATTAGTATCTTTTGTTTTTATCAACGATATTACATTTCAATGATAAGAGGATGTGCCTAATGAAGGATCAGCAAGCCATGCAAAGACTAAACAGCTTAATGATGCTTCAAAAGTTTTGCGCAGACAAAGGAAGAAGCTTCCGACAAGATTTAACTGCGGTCTATAATTTAATTCTGGCATGCAACCATATTGTAAAGCTTTGGGGGATTAAGGTCAAAGCCAGAAAGATGGCAGGCCTCTAATCTAGTATTTTATATCCTATATGAAGTGTGAAATTGATCCCAAAGGGGTCAACTAACAACCCACATGATCCGAAGCAAAATTGGCTTTAGATGTCAAAAGAACCATTCTTTGTACTCAATTAAGTGTATAATATGCAAAGAAATTAACGGGTTCTTTGGGCATCTGAATCTGTAAAGTATCTGCAGTAATATCCAGTAGAGGACTCTGGTTTTATGATTTTGGGTGTTTTGAAGTTCAATTATGCGGTAAATTCTTAAAATGCGCGATTTTCTCCGACTTATTTGAGGAACTTTTTTTTTAGAACCGAGAAATTTCATTAAGCCTCAAGGGCACCGAAAATAGAGGAAATGTTACAATTGGGAATGCCGGTTAATTTCTGACCCCATTGTTTTGGCCACATTTGCCATGAAGAGGGCATCCACATTAAACAACCTGCCAACAAAAGTAACTGACGAAATAGAAAAACTACACAACAAATCTTTGCAATCTAAAGCTATATGATCAATACTAGCTAGAACTACACAACAAATCTTTGCAATCTAAAGCTATATGATCAATACTAGCTAGATTCAAAAGAGAGTTTATGCAATCAACTGCAGAGGAGGAATCAGAGAATGTGAATCTTGTCAAAGTTCTAAGTTTTCACCAAATTAAAGTTACGTTTGATAGTCAATAATTCAGTCAGACAAGGATCTGCCTTAACTTGTTCCTTCGCACAGGTAGCGACAATAACATCCTGAGCGTGATCGCCTATCCATCAATGAGCCTATCCATCAACGAGGCCAACATCAACCTCCACATTACACACACCTATAGGGATAGGATCTTCTAGCAGGTTTTTGACCTTGATCCTAGATGGTTTTGTTCAGATTGGATTTGTGGCAAAATTCCATCACACCATGCCAAGCTCTATCTGGAACCGTAGGAGACTGCATTTTTCTTGAGGTAAACTGCAAATCATTCCTAGCACATAAAATATTCCACAAAGTGAAGTTGCTACGCAAATCTTTGAACATTAAAATTGTCATAAGTCAATCAAGCAAATCTAACTCAATAGGACAGCGATATCCCAAGAAGGAGGAGAAGAACACAACCTTAGGAAACTCGCATTGCAGGAACAAATGGTTACAAATTTCAGGAGCAAAGTTATAGAAAGAGCAGATGGGGTCAAACACGATACCTTTACCACGCAAGTTTGTCTTACGGGGAAGAATGTCCTTTGCCAGCCGCCAGAGGAAGTTTCTAACTTTTTAAGGGACATGAAGATTCCAAAGCAGCTTTCACACTTTCTTGGGATGAAAGGAAGAAGGGCCAGGAGAGGTCATCACTTCAGGGGAAGGAGACCTTGAGGCTGTCTTGAAAATCTCATTGTGCATCTCATATCATCTTGTGTTCATTAACCTCTATCATAGATTTCTTATGTACTTGCTTGCTTTGTGAAGACATGATTACTGGTTGTTATGTAATAGCGAATAATTTTGTTCTTTTGAGTGTCTTTCTATTTATCCATTTATATGTCTTCATTGACTGTATTATATGTGAATGTGTGTTGATGACTTACCTGTTGCAAATTGCTTGAATTTGCTTATCTCTTATATAATATGGAATACATCAACCTCTATCTTCTTTCTTTTTGATGTTGTCAAAGGGGGAGAAGAATATCAAGCAAAAATATCACTTTTATAATACTTATCAAACATGCAGATCGTGTACAGAAAAATTCATGGAGTAAGGGGGAGGATGATATAATGCATTCTACACCAAGTTTCTACTGTTTTTCCATCATCAAAAAGAGGGAGTATGTGAGGGCAAAGTTCCCCATACTTAACTATACTTGTTTTAATGATGTCAAAACTTACATAGGTAGAAAAATGTACTTTGGACGGTATCATTATGTCGCATATGCATGCCTTATTCCTCTTGCGTCAAACATTGGTCAAAAACATGTTTAGGTTCATATAAAAAAAGTACAATACGTGTTCCATATAGGCTTGATCATGTTGGTTTAATTACTTGCAATATGGTGGAGTATCTTAAAAGTAGATAAATACATGGAAAAATGCTTTTTTGCATATTCTGAGTCTTTGAGTCGACTCAAAGACTATTCCGATTAACTCATACAGAAGTCACTTTTCATGGTCTACTCTCAGGAGTGCTCGCGTCAACCCTCCGATCGACTCATACTGTGTTAATTTCTGTCTGTCTAAATTTGTATCCTTTGTGTCGATGCATGACTTGTTCCGGTCGATGCAAAATGTTATTTTCTGCATAATTTGAAAATCGGGAGAGCTCAGGTCGACCATTCCCTTTCTAAAAATCGACCGCTCGCGTGTTTTTCACAAAAAATCATGTTATGCGAAACTGTCAAAGTGTTTGTTAAGTTGGTTAATATTTTTCACTTGCATATATATTGAGTTGCCTTATTCTTCTAATAACAACAAGAAAAGTGAAAATATACACTGATTTTGTTCTCATCATTTTCATCCTCTTTCTTACATTTTCTCAACAACTACACATAATCATTTTTGTTGTGTATTCTACATTATTGAGGTGATAACGTCCAAACATAGGATTGGTGTAATCAGATTTGGGTTGAGAAATCAATGGATTTTTCTTGAATAAAGCCGTTAGGGTTTTGTCCTCTAAGAATCTTGGATTTTGGGAGTTTTTTCACAAATCGGTCCATCATAGATTCAGCCGAGCGAAGATAATCGAAGAACAGGGGGTTCTGTCGGTTTAGTAGCGGTAACCAAAGGATTGTGATAGGAAGATTTGGGTTCGAAGCATTGGTGTTTGAAATCAGTCGGGAAAGACTTGAAGACCAAAGGATTGTTCAATGGGGGTTCCGTAATCAGAGGTTTACTCATCACGTTCGAAGGACTTGATTCAGCTTGAATCAAGGGAAGAGAAGGAATAGGCTCTGCATCAACAATTGGGTTTGATTGTTTGAATTCTATTGCTTCTCTTGTAAACATTTACAAACAGGTTATATATATACAAGTCTCAATTCTAATTTTAGAATTGAGGGCAGACGTACCCCGAGCGAGGATGACGGAGGAACTGCCTCAACAAATTGGTGTTCTCTCTTTATTTTTCAATTGCTTAATTTTTGAGTTTGTGTGCAAACAATTTAGCTTATCAAAATTTTGGTGTGTGTAGTGTTGAATCATTTATAGAAACCTTATTACACTCCTTGATTGTAATTGAATACTATAGCACTTCACTCACATATTGAAATTCACTTGTGGTGCCTTGCACACCAAGTGTTCGACTAATTGCGTGAACACAAACACTTGTGTTGTCTTTTAAATTGGGTTATATTTTACACGCATTGGAAACTGTCGAAACTTATAGTGAATAAAATTTTGTTGATGTGTGTTCAAATTAGTGAGTCTAAATCTCGTTTTTATCATATTCCATAGGCTTTGCGTATATACGGTCTTTTCGGTAAAGGTTCGTTTAGACGAATATAGTTCCTCGGACACTTCCGCTTAAAACTTTTAAAAACCAAATATTGGTAAGCGCCGACTCTGTTTTTAATAAGTGATCTATTCAACCCCCCTTCTAGATTTTTACCGTCATCTAACAGAAATGCCAGCTCCGAGGACAGAAAAAAAAAGTCGGTGGGTTCCCGGAGAGATTAAATTACATTCCTAGGTTCATCTCACACTTTACAGCTACTAGTGAGCCAATCTTCAAGTTACTTAGAAAAGGTCAAACCATCGATTGGAATGAAGATTATCAAAAGGCCTTCGATCGAATCAAGGAATATCTACAAGAGCCACCTATATTGGTGCCACCTGTGCCTGGAAGACCCCTCATAATGTACCTAACAGTACTTAATAATTCGATGGGTTGTGTACTTAGGGAACATAGCAAGTCAGGGAGAAAGGAACATGCAATCTATTACTTAAGCAAGAAATTTACTTTGTGTGAATCCAAATATTCACTATTGGAGAAGACCTGTTGCGCTCTTGTATGGGCAACCTGACGATTAACACAATACATGGTGTGCATACTACCTTACTGATATCTAGAATGAATCCAATCAAATACATATTTGAGTAGTCGGCGGTAACTGGTAGAATAGATCGATGGCAGGTGTTACTAACTGAATATGACATTCAATATGTCACTCAAAAGGCTATAAAAAGGAGTGTACTAGCATATCATCTCGCTCATCAGCCAGTGGATAACTACCAGCCTATGCAATTTGACTTCCCCGATGAAGACGTTATGGTTATAAGGGATTGTGAGACCCCATACCCGGACGAAGGACCTGAAACCGGATCTTGATGGAAGCTTATATTCAGCGGTGCCTCAAACACATAAGGACATGGGATATGGGCTGTTATAACTTCCCCAACAAGGTTTCATATACCCTTCACCGCTAGGTTATGTTTCACATGTGCTAATAATATGGAAGAGTATGAAACATGTATCTTAGGAATCGATGAAGCCATTAACCTAAAAATCAAGATCTTAGAAGTATACGGGGATTCAGCTCTCGTCATCAATCAAATTAAGGGAGAATGAGGAACACATAATCCTAAGCTAACTTGATATCGATACTATGTCTAAAGGTGATCACCTACTTTGATGAGATCATGTTTCACTATATCCCTCGGGAAGAGAATAAGCTAGTAGACTGTTTCCCTTAAAAAATGGAAAACAACCGCTGATCTTCCAAATCTAACTTTGGTGACTCACAGGATCGATCATATTGATCCTAGGACATGTGCTAAAGGTTTTATGTTTTGAAATCTATCTAAGTTACACACTTCGACAATATTTAGAAAA